TGTTTTGTTATGCAAATTAGAAAAATATAGAAGACCAAAGAACTCAATGTAAAATAATTTCTAGAAAAATAGACTAATATAAACACCCACTATCAAAATAATGGTTTAACGATGTATTCATTAAGGACGATAGTGTTGCCACATATATAATGAGCGCTTGTGACAATTGACTTAACACTATCTATCGGAAAAGAAAGATAAAATGGATCAAAGTTGTTCAGTTTCTGCCACTATTAGAGCATATTAGGGCCTTTCTAGTGCAAGCTATTAAATGAACATTTGATTCTTACATGGAAAACAATAGAGAAGTGAGCACAGACTTTAATAAACTAAACAATATATAATATTTTTAAAGGCGGTTTTTGTGTTTTTTTAATATTTTATTTCGAATATTATGTTTGTGTATCTCTACACGTGTTTCGGCAAATTCGTTTTTGCCTTCATCAAGAGAATTCCTAATATAAATATAAAATATATATTAACATATAATATTTTTTTGTAATTTTAAAATTTAATTTTATTGTTCACAATAAGAACTCTAAATAGACACTTCATTTATTTTTTAAGAAAATTGTAAAGTTCTCTGTGGCTAGTTAATGGCTAGCCTTTCTCTAACATAATGGCATGATTCATAGTTGTGAAATAAATGAATCAACTTCCAACTCTATAATTATATATAATTTCATCTAAATAGTTTCGAATAATCTGCATAAAAATAATTTTATCAAAACAATTCTAAAACGCCACTTAACTATGCATAATTATGTATTGTATTCTTTCTGCTCAACTTAAAAAAAGCGTTACCCCTCTTAAAACTATTATAAAACAAAACATCGTAGCGCTAAGACCAATTGACGCTTTGGCAGCAGAGGCAATATTTTTAACTAGAAATTCAAAGCGTAATAAAAAAAACTACAAACCCTTTTTTAGGTCTTTTAACATCCACAGTGCCAGCCAACCTGCTTTAGTGGACGTAACACTTTTTTGTTTTACGAAAAACAAGGAAGCCAAAATAAAGAGAAAAAAAGTTATGATACCGCCACCACCGGCAGAAGGCGCAGCGCATAAAAAATGCGTATGCTAGTGCGTTGCATGCGAAAACTGTTATATGCAATATATGTCGACTGAGATGCAACGCTCATTCTCTCTCCTTCACACTATCAACTTATTTGAAAATGCGTGCGTGTGTCATTTTTGCTGAACCTTTCCCCTACTAGCCAAAGCAAAGCAAAGCAATGCGTTTTCATAGTGCAAAGTTATCGAAAATTTCCCCTGTTGTAACGAACCGTAGCTGCGTTAGTTGTGTGAATGTGTGTGTATGTGTGTGGTTTTCCTTCAAAACGATATTCCCCTTATTTTGTGTGCAATGTTGTGCTGTTTTTGCTTGTTTGTTTTGCTTTTGGCTGCGTTTGCGATTGTGTGACGTTGTTGAATGTTTTTTCTATTTTCGAATTTTCTTCGCTGTGAAAATATAGAAAAAAATATTGAAAATTATATTGGAATGACTTTGTGCATGCAATCGCAAAGCAGTTTTATTCAAGTTTGAGCACTCGAATCTGCAACAACGCAACGTGTCGCAGTTTTCAAGAGAAAATTTTCTGGTTTACAAAAAATGAACAAATGAACAGCAAAATTCAAATAAAATTTTACAAACAAAAAAGATTTTAGATTTTTTTCGAAAATGTGAAAATTTTTATTTATTGCATAAAAATTTTAAGCAATTTTATTTTTGGCAAGAAAAAAAGCGAACAACAATTTAACACAAAATTACTTTGGGATTACAACGAACTAAAATAAACAAAAACTTTACAAAAAAAAAAAAACAAAATTATAAATAAACTAAAAGTGTTATAAAATTTAAAAATATAAATAAGTGCAATTTTATTAAAAATTTCGGAAAAAACTGTGAAAATCTTAATATTTAAAATTTAATAAATAAACTTCGAACTCCGCACACAGCAAACATTTTCAGTACGAATTTTGACTTTTTTGGCTTCTAAAGTTTTTACAATTTTTTCGTCATTTTTGTGTTTTTTGGCTTCTTGCTGTGTGTGTGTACAAAATTTAATAAAAGAAAAAATTAAAAATTAGCAATAAAAAACTTTTCCAAATTTAAAATTTCAAAATAACAAATTAAAATTATAAAGAAGTTTTCGGTGCCACTCTGAGAACTCCTAGGCTTCAGGCTTCGATATTTGCTCAACCACTTGCGGATTCAAATCCTTTGTAATGCAGCGGATTGGGAACAGTTTTTGATCATAACTTTCTCAGGTAAGTTCAATTCTGCAAATATTTGTATATAATAAAAACATACTCTTAATATTATAAATAATTTAAATTAATAAATATTTACATAATTACTACTTATAATCAGTAAAAAAATAAATCAAAATTAAAAATTAAAAAATAAATTCTGTTCAAATTAATAACAATATTTTCTATATAACATAATTATGTTATTAAAAATAAATATACTTATAACATATAATTCAATAATAATATAAATTAGGTAATAGTTAATTAATAGTTATTTTATAGCAATCGGTCACAATGACCAGGTCCAGTTATTCCTGTGATTATCGTCTGTCAAGAATTTCGCTTATCGTAGCAAAAAGATTGCAAATCAAAAAATTAAAATTAAAATTATAACAAATCTGTTATAAATAATTAAATGAATATAATTAAACATTATAGTGAAATAAATAAAGATAAAAGGGACAAATTTAATTTAGAAAACTGCAATTATGACATAAATACATTATTATATTTACATGAATATAATTATATATGATATGAATATATTATATAGATATTTATATAATTATGTGTTAAATATGTTGTACTATATCTATGAGTACATATATATTATATATTAACAAATATGTATTACACTAAGTAATAATTATATTTATTATATAAAATTAAAATATGTATTATATTATAGGATAGATGGTTTATTGAATTTAATAAAAGTTAGTTTCTACTTTGAAATTTTGAATTCAGCAGGTGGAATGAAGTCAGTGGCATATATAAGAGAGTTATTGAAAAAATTTATATACACAAATTTCTAAAAATTATCTATTATATATGAGCAAATAACATATATAAAATACTATACACCTGAAAATAGTTTTTAATAAAACTGTACTTATAATGACATTTAATATGTATATTCCATAATCTGACAGGTTATTACGTCTTTGGTCAACATACTTTTCAAATTT